CGCAGGGGCGGGGGAGCCCTGCCCCCCCTCCCTGGGGACGGTGGCCTCAGACATTGTGCCCCCACAGAAGCCTGGAGCGTGATCGCTTCGCCCTTCCTGCCCAAGTACCTGTCCTCGCCGCGCTGTGCCGCCCTGCGGGGGGCCCTCTACCTGGTGGGCGACAACACCAAGAAGGCCTACGTGTACGACCCGGAGGCCAACCTGTGGCAGAAGGTGGGCCTCGGCCTCGCCTCCCAGTGTGACGCCCCGGGGCCCGGCACCATAGAGCCCCGTCCTGGGCACCGGGACCTGGGGGGCCACCATCGGGGGCACTGGGACCTGGGGGGCCACCATTGGGGGCACCGGGACCTGGGGGGGCATCGGGGGAGGTCAGTGAGGGTGCAGAGCCGGGCTGAGCCTGTGACAACAGGAGAGCCGAGGACTCGGAGGCTGCTGGTCGCCGTGGGTGCTCTGTGCCCGCTCAGGGTCCTTTGTCCCCGCTCAGGGTGCTCTGTCCCCGCTCAGGGTCCTCTGTCCTCGCTCAGGGTGGCCTGTCCCCATCCTTAGCCAGGGGTGCTTCAGAGACAGCTGTGGACTGAGAGACAGCTCTCCCTTCCTGGTGCTGGCCAGGCTCAGGAAGGAGTGAGTCTCCCACCCCTCGGGGGAATCAAGCAAGGGAGCAGATTCCTCGGCTGTGGGTGGGATGGGTGTGGCCAGCCTCTTGGCGCCCCACTTCCCTGCAGTGCCAGGCCTGCCCCCGCTGCCGCTGGGCCCCAGGGAGCGAGTGGGGGCGGACATCTCGAGGTGTGCCCTCGGGGGCCCTGGAGCCTTGGCCTTTCTCCTGCTGCTTCTGGCCTCGGCACTAGCCAGACGCCCTGGGCCCACCCCACCTGCTATGACATTCTCAGTCCCTGATGGCCGAGGAGGTGGCAGTGCTCCCCGCAGCCACTGCAGGAAGGCTGTGCCAGCCTGAGCGCAGCAGGGCCTCTGTGACCCTGCTGCCCACAGCTGTTCCCTGGCGTCAGTGCTCAGCTGACCGGAGGCAGAACAGGTGCAGGGTGCACCCTGCCAGGCAGGGCCGGGCCCGCCCAGCTGGCCTCCCTGGTCCACGCCCTGCCCGGGCGAGGGTCCCCGCCACACAGGGCTCCACGTCTGCTCTCCAGACCTAGAGGTGGTCTTCACGTGAAGGCCACAGCCAGACCTCTCCCGTACAGCCCTCCGGGCTCTTCCAGAAATGGCCACGTCTCTCTCTGGCCTCTGTCCCTGACCCCGCGCCCCTGTTCAGGGCACTCCTGAGACCAGGGCTGCAGGGCCTGAGCAAAGGTCCTGTGGGGCAAGTGGCCTCACGCAAGCACCCTTCAGAACTGAGGCCACGTCTGTCCTCTCCAAGATGGCTGAGAATCAGCCCCTGGGGGGCAGCCCTGGGCTCTGGCCTCCACGACCCCCCAACTCTCCAGTTATCCGAAATGAGCAAATTTGGGCCAAGAGAGCAGGCAGGGGCTGGAACATCGTCGTGGGGTGCGGCTGGAGAGGGGGCAGTGGGGTCTCCCCACTAAGGGGGAGCCAAGGGGGAGGGGCAGTCACAGGGGTCCTTCCTGCCAGGCAGCAGGGAGGGTGCTGGTGCCCTGGGTGGATGGCCGGCCGTCCTCGGCGCACGTCCTGGCCACCGCCCGCCTCCCGCAGGTGCAGCCCCTGCACAGCCTGCACGAGAACGGCGCCCTGGTGCCTCTGGGCGGCACGCTGTACGTGACGGGCGGCCGCTGGCAGGGCATGGACGGGGACTACCGCGTGGAGATGGAGGCCTACGACCCCGGGCACGACGCCTGGACCCGCCACGGGGCCCTGCCCCGCCTCTGGCTCTACCACGGGGCCTCCGCCATCTTCCTGGACGTCTCCAAGTGGACGCAGCCCTCCGGCCCTGCCCAGGAGCACTGACCACTCGCCGTCACGCCTGGAGGTGGCCGGCTAGGTGACCCCCCCAGGGGAGGGCCCCATTGGCTTTGTGTGTTTGTTTACTCGGGGCGCCAACCGCTCCAGGGCTGGGGCCGGGCTCAGGGGAGGTCACAGGGACACAGGCTTGGTCTCCACTGCCACCACACCAACTGCGGGAGGACCAGCAGCAGGGGCTGGAACCCTCGGCACCGCGTGGAGGGGAGGAGCAGCCCCCGGCCCACAGCGGGGTCTGAGACCCCAGAGGAGGAGCCAGGGATCTGGGAAGCACCGTGAGGACCCCATGTTCTTCCGATGCTGGCCATGGGTGGCCCTGGGAGGAAATTCCACGGATGAGGGGTGACACGGATGCCGGGTGACACATAACGGGTGACACATAACGTGTGACACGATGCCAGGTGGCACAGATGCCGGGTGACATGGATGGGGGTGACACGGAGGGGCCCGGGAGGCCGAAGCTGTCGGGAGGGTGGGCAGACAGAGCGAAAGGCCCTGGGGGGGGCTGGGGTCGGTACCTGGCCCTGTGGACCCGCTTCTGCCTGGCCCACAGCTGTGTGACCATGGCCGCAGCCACCCATCCCTGGGCCTCAGGCTTTACATCCGTGTCACACGGGCCCCTCTCCCTGCCCCCAGCCTCTGCATGCTGGCTCCTTGCTTCCAAAGGCTGCTTCTGTGTCACATCGCCCGGGCGGCAGCACCCACTGAGCCCCTGGAAGGCAGGGGGCAGGCGGGGGGACAGGACAGAGGGCCCTTGTGCTTTGCGGGGCTGGGGACGTGTGTCAGCATGGCTTAGGGGCGGGGGCAGGGTGCGGGCCCTCTGGCAGGCCTCTCCTGTGTCTCAGGGGGCTTCGCTTCCGAACAATGGCTCCTCACCAGAACGGAGCCCCAGCAGAGACCTGTGACGGAGTGTGTTGAGGGGAGGTCTCGTTGGGATTCCTGGGGTGCTTCTGGGCACATTGGTGGCTTGCTACCAGGTGGACTCAGAGAAGGCAGCACCCTGCAGGCTCCTCCTGCCAGCTCGTGGCCTGACTTGGGCTGACTTGGGCTGACTTGGGCTTGCCCTTGCGTCCCCTTGCGTCTGACCTGGTCCCACGAGGAGCTGGCTCGGCCTCCCCATTCCTCCTCACTAGTCCTGAAGGAGACACTGTGTCTATCGCCAAGGGAACAGTGGAGAGCTGTCACCGGTGCTGAGGGGCTTTTCCCCTGTGTCACTGGCTCTGTGAAGTATACAGGGCTACAAGTCGGGGTTCTGGGCCCAGCCTGGCTCCGGCCCTGTACTGACCGGCTGAGGCCCTGGGTGGCTCCCGTCCCTCTACTTCTGGACCTGGGTTCCTCTCCAGGGCCAGCCCACGGGCTCCTCCTAGAACCCCACTGGGGACCAGAGGCGCCTCTGGCATCTTAGTTCTGAGGAAGGGTCCCTGGGCCCCCAGCTCCCACAGACCAGAACCACTCTGCTCCCACACCTGACCCCTGATGCCCATCTCTTGTGGGAAAATCGAGTTTGCCCCCCGGGCCCCAAACACAACAGGGCCTCCTGGGTGTCTGCCCCCAAAGGGACATGAGCCTGGGACCCGAGGACACCAGGCAGCCGGCGGGGTGGGTGACAGCGAGGATGAAGGCTTTGGGATCCCTGAATATTTCTGTACAAAGATCTGAAACGTATCCTGATGGTCATTAAAGGTGCCCAGCCACAGCTGTTTCGAGGTCGGAATGGACTTCGCTGCCACAGCGGGCGGGCGGGGGCCGTGAGGCCGGCTTCTGCTCTGCACATCTTCCTGGCAGGGGTGGAACCTGGGGCTTGGTCCTTGACTTTGGGGCGCCAACTGCCCCTCCTCTGATCGCCGGCGCCTGGGTCAGGCCAGTTAGATCCTTCGGGGTCCCCAGAGGAAACCGATGACCCCTCGAATTCAGTGATGGAAGAAGGTTTCATGGAGCGGGGGGCTTCCCAGGTGTGGGCAGGCTGAAGGGAATTCAGCAAGGGCTGGCCACACGGGGTGTCACCACCTCCCTGCCCCAGGACAAGGGAGGGAGCAGATGCAAACCCCAGAGAGAGCTGGAGGGGGAGGGCTGCTGAAGAGGGGGGAGCTGGGCCTCTGCTGAAGGAGCCGGGCCACGGCCACTGCCTCTCAGTGGGGAAGAAGTGGGGGACAGGGGACCGACCTCACTCGCTTTCTTGGCCCCTGTCTCCCGCGGGGCCTCTCCTGGCCAAACCCAGCCGGAATCAGAGGGAAGACAGGCCATTGACGGGACAGAGCGGTCAGCCTGAGGGGACAGAGAGCCGGTGGGGAAGGGTGGCCAGGGCAGCAGGCGGGCCAGCGGAAGCTCTGAGATGCTCGTGTGAAGGGACAGTGACATGCGGAGTCTCGCAGGAATGTCCGTGTGGAAAGCCAGGCCATCCTCTTCCCTTACAAAGTGTCCCTAAGCGGACTCTCTACAAGGTCGGGGCGACTGCGGACTCCCGGAAAGCGGACTGGACAGTCTGGGAGCGAGTGTGAGGGCCCCCAAGCTCTCAGGCCCGTGGGGGGGCGGCCGCTTGCCCAGCCCGAGGGTGCCTGTCTGCCAGGCGGGGCACGCTGTCTCTCCCACGGGTGACGTTGGGTGACCGAGACCCCGCTCCAGCGCCCTCCATGGCCAGGCCCTGGGTCTCTGCTCCCTTGGTTCCCAGGTGAGCCAGTGTCCGGGGACGCTTCCGGCCGCTTCCACTGGCCTTGGGGTGTCCAGGATCTCCCAGAGAAGACCCTTTATCATCGAGCATCTTCCCTGGACGAAGCGGGGACAGTGATTGCTGGAAGCGGGGACAGTGATTGCGCGGGGCGCGGCCTGGGCACTCCCACGAAAATGTTTGTAATCAAATGGGCCGGTCAGCGGCAGTTCGCTGCAGTCAGTTCAGACCACCACACGAGTCAGCCCGGTGGAAAGTGTGGGCGCAGCAGGGTCTCAAAGCGGCTTCGTTCAACATTGTTTTGTTCTGTAACGTTTCATTACAATGTTGACGAGACTTAACTCACTTCTATCCGTCAGTCTGCGGTAAAACTAGTTTGTTCTACGTCGTTTGGCTTAACGTGGCAGAACCCATCGACGACGTCAAGTGAGGACCCACTGTGTCGACCCGGGATCCGTCAGTGACTTGCAGAGGGGGTGGTCACAGCCACACAGGTGGCAAGGGAAGGGAGCCCACCCCTCCAGGGCCATGTCATTCATTGGTCCCCAGCGCCCAGCACAGTGCCAGGCCCTCAGCCTGAAGCACGGAAGCCACTGTCCTGAGTCCCCAGAAGCGGGCACACGGGAGGGCAGCCAGGCACGAAGCCGCTGAGTGAAGGGTGGCAGGGGCTGGGGCGAGACTTTCACACGGGGAGTGACTCCTGGGTGCGACGAGCATCCAGGAGCCCAGGCGACTTCCTCATAGCCCATGGACCGTCCGGGGGTCTTTCAGGGCCCGGGAAGGAGGCGATGTTGGTCACGGTCACACCAAAGAATGTGATTCTTGCCAAAATGGCAAACGGAGCCACGGGTATATCTAGCCTTTCGCATCCAACGGAGAGGGGAACTAAAGGTCCGAGACCCTCTGGGTGGGGGTGAGAGAGGAGGTCCCCAGGGACCTGTCGGCGGGGAGGGTGGTCCTGGCACTGGACCCTGTGTCCAGCAGGCGGCAGGGACTGAGCAGATGCCCTGAACTGAATCGAGTCTGTGGGTTCCTCAGAGGGGCTGGGCCTGGATGAGGTTTCATTTGGTGGCACCGTGACCTTGGCCAGGCCCAAGATCTGTCCTCGTCTGTGCACTGGGGACAGCCACCTGATCTGACAACTAGACGATGGCGCATGCTGGAGAGGCTCCGGTGAGCAGCAAAGGTTCCCTGTCGACACCGGAGGCTACGCGACAAGCTGGCCTCAGGTCCTGCTGCGTTTGGGGCAAACGGAGCTCCGTTCCCATGACTTCGTCCGCAAGGTCCTTCCTTCGGAGGAAGGAGGAAGAGCAGGGACATCCTGGCTGCATCAGGCCACTGGGGAGCCAGGGCCAAGGCCGTGACAGGAGGGCCCAAGAGGGAGGGTGAGGTTTCAGTCAGGCATGGGGTGCGAGGGGGAGGCTGCGTCCTGCTTGCCTGAGCCCCTCCTATGGCCCCTCCCTCAGTTTCTCCGCCCTGGGACCCATTGGTCCCCCGCCCCCCATGCACCCCGTCCTGCCTCGGGGGAGTGTTGCAGGAGCTGCACCGGCACCAGAACCAATTCGATTTGGGCCCCCTGCAGGACGTCACTAGGATTGTTTACTGTTTGGGAAAATAACCATTTCCCATGGCAACGGCGCCTGTCCTCATGCAGGCCGGGCCCCCCTGTGAGGTGGAAATGATGTCACTGGAACATCGTAAGGGTTACATGTGCCCCAAACTGGGCCTCTCTGTCCCCACATGTCCCCAGTGTTGCTTGAGGGGGCAGAGGCTGAGCCTGAGCTCCGGGGTCCGGGCTGGCCCCTGGTATCCGGCCCTGGGCACAGAATCCCCGGAACGCGGTCCCCAGGCCTCCGTCCTGGGGTTGAGCCTCGCCAGCCTCTTTCCTCCTGGCCTTGGCCTCGCCTGCTCACCCCTCACTTATGAGTGGATCCCAGGCAAGGGCTCAGGGCCACCAGCTGTCACCATGCCCGCGTCACAGACCAGCACACTGAGTCTCGGGGGGTGAGTGCCTCCTCCAGATGGCCGCACAGGAACCAGGGTGCCAAGCAAACCTCTGCTGGGTCTGTCCTGGGCTCCGACCTCGCCGCCTGGAGCCTCTGTCTTCACTTGGGCCTGAGGGTGCCGCACTGTGCCGTGGTGCCGACAGCCCAGGGACCCGCACCGCTCGGCAGCCTGGAAGGAATCGGGCCCCGCACAGACCCACCGTGAACTCAGCTCATCCTGCAGCAGGCTCCGAGGGGTGCCAGGACAGATGGCCACCAAGCAGGGCCCGTCCCCCTACAGTCCGGCTGTCCCCATGCCATTCTCCTCCTCCCTGGGGTCGGGGGAAGCTCTGCGGACAAGCCCTTGGGGTCCCTCTGGGCCAGGCCCCACAGGAAACCCCACGTGGGGAGCCAGTTTGTCTCAGGAGAAAGGCGGGGCTGTTTTCGCTCATGGCGTAACTCGTGCCCCACAGCATCTAGGACAGGAAGGAGCCTAAGGGGCAAAACCAGCGGCTGTGAAGATGTGACTGAGGTTGGTGGGCAAGAGGGCCTGGCCGCCACCCGGAGCCTGGCCGTGTGTCCCTGGTCCAGCCGCCAGCGGGTCCTGTGAGAAGCGGTGAGGTACTGGGTGTGGACGCTCGCGGAGCAGCATGTCCTGGGGACAGGAGCCCCCCTGTACCCGCTGATCACGTTTCAGGAAAGCGAACACCCCACACTTGGCACCCTGGGGTCACAGGTAGTCCCCCAAATAAGTAGAAGTGAATAAAATGCTAATACCTAACACTGAAGCATACACCCCAGCTCATACAATCATGTCATCACAAAGTCCCAACACCTGGCTTCCCACCAGCCTTTCCTCGTGGGACTAGAAGTGAGAAGCCACCGAGAACCCCTTCATGCTCAGAGGGGCTTTCCGGGGACACCCTGTGTGGATTTGGAGTGAATGTCATTTGTAACAAGGCTGCTGAATGTTTGCCGATGAAATAAGTTTATACGTTATGTAAAGTATAAATTCTGTGAGCCACGTTCCCCCAGTATCTTGGAGACCTGCAATTTCTATAGGGATTTCGATTTTTTCGTTCCACTGATCATTTTTTTTAATTGCTAAAAGGATAAAGACAGAACTTTTCCGGTCCTAATGTCCTTCGAAAGATATCTCCACAGGCAAATCTATGGGACACACTGACTCCTGAGGACATACCTTCTCGGGCTGGGCAGGGTAATTTTTTTCTTTAAACACTCTCCCCCACACCATCACCAAAAAAGTAAATGGAAAGAAAAAGGAAAAACGCCCTACCACCATCCCCACATCCTACAGAAAAAGAGGCAGAATCACAGAGCATTTCCTGTTCCCCCTTCTGGGGCAGGAAGCCAGCCCTGGACCAGTGGCTGAGTGACAGGGACTAGTCCTCGGCAAGGAGCTGAGGACTACCCAGGGTGCCTGCTCAGTCACAGGTGCCATACTCTGAAACAGGACAGGGCAAGGCCTCCCCTCTCAGAAGAAAACCGTCCCTTGGCGTGGGTGGCGGGCCCTTGGAAAGTGCGTTCCTCAGCCGTGTCTTCCCCAGGCTTGAACAAAATGCACCCTGCACCCACCAGGAGC